TCGTGGGCCAACTTCTTCGGAATTGCAAAATTTGACTGAACTTGGCTCTGGGAGAATTTTTCTATCCTAGGTTCGTAGAGGGTACCGCGTACATGTGTTCATTCTTTGCACTTTACAAAGATAGTCATAAATCCTAGTGATCCACGACATTAAAAACGTTCCTCTTCTTTACGAACCATCTTGTTGCGACTGTACGCCTTTTATTACTCAGTTACTCTATTCGTAACCCATGGCAACCATTGTAGCCCAGTAACCATTCTAAGGTGAGTAAATATTCGCAGACTATATAGAGAATGAATACGGAGATGTCACTAAATCCTCAGTCTCTAACAGACAGAAAACCAACATGAAAGACCCACGTGGAAAAACAACTGCGGCTAAGCAATGGGGTTCTTCAGAGGATCCAAAGGCAAACTTCTCCGTCTAAAGGGCTGAGATTCAATGCCCTGCGTCAGCTACACCTATCAAGTATCATATCTGTGCTTGACTATGACTCTTTCTTTTTATGCATCTGACCATGACTCCATTATGCGGTCTGGTAGATGTGGTAAATAAATAGCCAACAATGATTACCAAAAGCTTCAAACCAACCGCCCAATACTGGGAGCACTAAAACTGCCCTAATCGGATGAGCTTGACACCAGTCCGGCTCTAGCAGCAGGTCATATTGTAATGCTAAGTGTTGGTAAAACACGAAGTAATACAAATTGGGTGCCGTCACGAAGTCGGTGAATTAAGTCAACTAACTGGTATCTCGAAATACATCAAACGTTGTCTCTCCCTTCTCCTCTGCATCTCCCCTATCTTCCTCTACTCCAAGTCCTCCACAGTCTTAGACTCAGTAGGGGCTACAATAAAAAATCTAATCTAATCTAATTCCTCTACTCCAAGCGCCTCGCTAATGAGCTAAATCAGATCCTGTCAGTGTACTAACGACAACCTGAATACCGCAATTAGATAGAACGATTCGTACTGCCCAAATATGGTCCTTTTACCGACACTAAGCTTTGTTGGTCAGCGCTGACATAGGCTTTTCCAACGTGCCAAACTGTAACAGTGGTGAACTGTACTAAGCATGCGCTCGCCAAAATATACTCATCTTGATCTGGTTAGGCTCGGCTGATATTCTTCCGGCCTCGGCACATAGCTTGTATGATAAATTCGTGGACATTGGACTTCCTCCCCTAGATTAAATATGGCTCATGATGCAGACCCAACTATATCATTCTTAGTTTTCCTCTGACACACACTGTCGAAACAATCTGCAGAATACGGATACTTGGAGCAAGTCAGACATGACCGGGCTCTACTTTGGATATCAATCAACTTAAAAACAGTCATCTCTCACCAACCCAAGAATGTAGGGCACAGAGGCCATTCTTACCTACTGACCCAAATATCGCTCGGGGCATGCATAAAATACACAGATGAATCACACACACTCTCTCTCTCTCGAAATGGAAGTAGCAGCATTAGATTCGTCATTTACATTCCTATCATTAGACAGATCAAGGTCTACTCTTTCAACCTTGGAGGTAGAATGGGTGTTACTGACACGGAAACATACTATATTCTGAAGACCCTGCAAATTGTTATGAATTCGTTCGAGCTAGTCTGGATGTGTTAGCGCACCGGTTAGTGTTCTAGTTCGATTAGGGCTAGGCAAATGGAGAGTAGATTTGGTCAGTCGGGATATTTGGATTTACCCGCAAGTTCCAACAATCTTCCTTTTATGCTCCAGCATATTTTTACCCTTCAATTAACCTACTTATTTTTTTCTTCGTGATTAATTCGTGCCCTACATAACTTTTGCAAACTTCGATACTTCGTCTTTGTCGAATGTTACTTGACCTCTGTGGCGGTTCAGTGTAGTATGATTCAGCTGCTAGGCTCGCTTGATGAGTCATCTGAGCAGGCTCATGGCGTCTTCAGCAAGAGACTATTTTTGCATATCCTTGCATAATTTGATTTTGCTCTGCCTCGTTGCCAACTGCTGTTTATGCCTCTTTCGCGTTCAGCGACGCGTCGGATCCCAGGCATTTCATTAGACCAGCTCCTTTACCCGCCACGTTGTGTCACGACGACATTGTTCATGTGTTTGAGATACTTTATTGCATAAATTAATGGTATGAATTCCAAAGCGACGTGAAAGGATTCGCGGAGCGATAGGCAAGTTTTTGTCGAAGGTTGTGTCATTTTCCCTAAATCTACATGCTTACATCAATCTTTACTCTTCACCTGCCCCACCATGGTGAAGCCAAACACAAAAAAGGCTGGATTCTTAAAACATATCATAGTAACAGACATGTCGGTAGTACCTGACGAACTAGACCGGAATAGGGGTGCCACACGCAAGGGCTATGGACTTTTCGCAGGCTTGACTCCCTCGATGTACAATCTTTGGATACTAACGAGATTAGAAAGAATAAAGATAGAATGCCGACAAAAATAGCACGGTCAGCTTTCTATCCTAGATTTCATCCTACATTTTGCTTCCTAAAAAGAGGAATGCGACAAGCATCATCGACACAATTACAACTGCGGGACTAGCTATAGTTGTCTTGAAGATCTGGGAATGAGCAGGCACCTTCATATCAAAGTCGGCCCTAAGAGTCCCGTTAAAGAGGTAATTATAGAACTTAATAATCAGCTGGCATTGATGGTACAAATAATTGACTCTGGCATAAAGCTGGGCCGTGGCAGCGTTGCAGGACGTCGGATTCTGTTGCTTGATAGGTTGTTCCCCACCCAACGCGACCGTTTGTCATCAGAGTCCTGCAAATAGAACTGTCCATACGAGTATATGAAGTTATATACCTATGTTGTTAGAACTTGGACTAGATAGGACTTCCAGGCAACTGTAACTTCTGTACCTTGTTCCACTTTGCTAGTTGCTTGGCATAAGGTGCCTCACAATATCATGGCAGGGGCAATTGTGTCTCGATGTGTTCATTATTTATTACTGGGGCGCCGTAAGATGAAGCCCAAGGTTCAGATCTGGTGCAGGAGTAGTGGAGATAGTATGGATCACGTCCCGGAACGCGCCAAGCTGGCTAATAATATTGCAAAGGCAAAATATGCTGGGTGCCCATGGAGAACAAATAGAGCGTATTACGATAACAGAAGTCTTGCTTGTGTCGAACCCGCCCTTGCCCCATCACCCCTCAGTCCGTGATAGTCTAGTTATCTTTTGACTCGCATCTGGTCGAAGGAAATTTAGCTGTAGGTCCTCATCATGATGGGGTTTTGGCGCCATACCCTTGGATTCGACAGATGAGTTGGCCACAATCACACTCTCTCCCGGCCTTGGCGGTTATGACAAACCTTCGACTGTGCGTAAAGTCGGTCGGAGAAGCCTCCCATCCCCAACGATAACTAGTGTTAGCATCTTCGTGAAGGAAGTGCCATAGCTTCGCAGCCAATTCGAGTGGGTCTGATGATGCTGCTTGGAGGCGTCGGAGCAATTCTAATCCAGGACGCTTCCGACAACCGGACTGTCGGTTATCCAGGCCTGTGCAAACCATTAGGCGAAGGGTGGGCGAGATGCTGATTACAGGGCTGAGGAGCTAATGGCGCACCAGTCGAAATTGCTGCTACTTGGCATCTAAGTTCTTCGTTTTCATGGAAATGTAAAAGGGACAACCCTTTTGTTGGTCAGGTTCATGGTTAAGCACAAATTGGCCAGTCACTCATTATCGACTGTACGCGGGGAGTTTTATCTTTGGATTACTTGGAATCTTTAGAATATGGCAGCAATTTGATTCTCGGTAGGGGAGATTAATTACCCTCCACTATCGCCGCCCGATTCGTCATTCCATACTTCACTTTACAAGGTCATCTTTAACGAAAGCATAACTGCTTAAGCTTACATTAAAACTACCCCTTCTGCAGAGAGCTATCGTAGAGGATAGATGGAAGGCCTGTTCCGCTCAGGATAGGGCGTCTGGCTCCACAATAGACCAACGTTTGACCCAAGTGCTTGTGCCTACTTGCACTCATAGCTACTCGGCGGAGAGGTAGGGAATCCATAATTTATCCCTTCCAGTTCCGACTGAAGCTCACGAGGCTGGGAAATGAGCAGCGCACCGCATTTTCTTTTTGGGGTTACACTTACATTGTTTGAAAAAAACATACATGATACACATGAATCACGAGAAGAGGAAGTGGCAGCAAGGCAGTTCTAATGTAGAGGTGAAAGAAGTAGACTGTCTGTGCATAGAGCGTATTTGGAGACGGACAGGGACTATATGCTAATGTGCACGTACCACTTGTACTCGCGCTATTGTAACTAGGGCTAGGTTGAGGCGAGGTCGTAACTACATGCCTATCTTGCCCGCCATGTAACAAAATTCATGTCAACAAATCTCTCCCAAGGGGAACTATGTGGGCTCGAGGTGCAGGTAGGTTTGGCAAGGACTAGCCACGAAACATGCTGCCACGGCGACCTGACGTGCAAGCCGCACGCGACTCTTAGCGAACATCATGAACAATGAGATAACAAAAATGAGAATGGTTGAGATTTTAGAGATTAATTCACAACGTTTATCATTGGATTTGAAAGGAATGAACAAGAGGTATTAGGAAAAGATTTAGTATGAATTAGCTACAACTCTATAGGCGGTTTCCTCAGCGCGTATCATTTCGGTAGGCGACCAGATTAAAGTCCATCGACATCCCTGATTCCACACTCCAGCAGCTGAAGACAAAGCTCAGTACCTAAAAATATGATCAGATAAAATAAATTCATGCGTCGAGATCCCTACCGCATCGCTCGTTCCCAGGTAACAATCCATTCCACAGAGGAGACGACAACCATAGAAATATTGAAAATAAAAACAGTAAAAAGAAGAAACTCTAAAGTGAAGGTTAATCTAACGCATGTGGGCCTCGATTTGAGAGGATCGCTTAATGTGCCCGTCGAACATCATCTATTCGCTTGCTGATGTCAAACTGGGGTTAGAGACGAACGCTCGGCGTAGTGGGTCTGATGCAGCGTTGGTCTAGTCCGTGGTGGAAGAAGTGGGCTTAGATTTTCGCAAGGCTACGGGTGCCCGAGAGGAGAGAGGTCTGGAGGTTAGTGCGCTGAACTTTCGCTGGCGAAAACGTTCAAGCTCCGCAGCACTTGGTAATGGCTGGCTATCAGGCCAATGAAAGAATCGAGCAATAGCCCTTTGAAGTTTTCGTCGGCTACCGGGGCGGATTTCGAGGTCTAATAGCTCCTGTTCAGTGATGGTCATTAACTGCTCCCAATTGGAGTAGCCTCTAGCTAAAAGTTCTTCGCGGTATTCATCCAAGCCGAGGTCGTGAAGTGTGCGGGTAAAGTTGCTAGCCATAGCAGTGATATAGGCAATGGTCAGAGAAACAAGATTATCAAATGGCCCGGGCTATCTAATTGATTCGAGTTTCAACCATAGCGAGATCTATGTAGTTGGTTGTAGGAGTAGGCAATGAGGCTATCGTGGCTCCGAACTCTGAGACGCAATTTGAGCAGCTTAAGGTAAAATTCAACTTGATTCCCACCATGAATACAGGTCATGACCTTCTTAAGTCCAAATTTTTCTCTTGTACACCCCACCATCACCTTGATATCAGGGCAAGGCAGTTCCAGTTAAATGAAGATGCCTACTTATGAGGAAGCGCCAGGATCTTAAATCCCAATACTAATTTCACGGTCGACTCACTATCTGTGTCGGACTGACACTGCAAGAGAGAATCAATACGGTGATACGAAATGCACCTGGCGCCCAGAGGAATGGGCAAAAACTTCAGGGGACCGTAGTTACTCCTACCACTATCCAATTCTTTTTATCCGATTTCGATTCGATTCTTTTCTTTTATCAACGAGAGTCAGACTCCTCATGATCTATCAACTCGTAGATCCTATGCGGCATGGGTCGAGCGAAGACCAATTCCTTTCGTGGACGTTTTACAGAAAAGACGATTCGCAATTTAAGCATCACTTCATGCTGTGGGTCACATTAGCCGATGTCGCTCACCAGGCTTGTCGATGGAGACTTGCAAACTTCAATCGCCGTGTTTAGACGATGGCGTGAGAGTTCGCAACCCTCAGGTGACTGCGACTTACCCTAGGCTGTCTCATGAATCAGTAGAGTCCACGCTGTAGTCTGGCTAGAATATTGGCTGAATGATGCTGCCGCAAGCGATGATGATGATGGTGCGTGAAGAGACAGTCTGCTCTAGGTGGGGTCAGTAAAAGAGCTAGATCGGCAAACTGTAGGTCCGTTTCGACCCAGACCACTCCATCAAACCATTATGCGCTTAGAAGTAACCAGAGGTGCGAGACAAAGGGCTGGTAAAATATCATCCATGCTTGAAAAGTCCACAACAATGAATATCTTGCCGAAAGGGCTGCTGTCTATATGACCAGTATAATCAAACAGACTTTTTGCTTTTACCTGAGGAATTGGCGCAGAAGAAGGAAAGGTGACAGCTCGGCCTCATATCAATGGGAATAAAGAGGTAGATAAGGTAGTCCGTATTGTTCATGTAGTACACCCCGCTGGCCGAAGAGCTCGATAGACTACGTTGACTTGCCTTTGTCAGTGCAGTTTTAGCCCATCCCTGCGTAACTTGCTACCTAGCTGTGGCACAAAGTCAGTGTCTAGTATAAATCAAAGGTGACTCTTGAAACTAGAGCTACTCGTACCATGAGTCTCACTTGAACATACCATTGTAAAGTGTATCTACTTACTCTACAGTTGAACCTTGCAAGCTGGTGTCCAGCCAAGCGATATTTACAAACTTGAAATAGAATAGAATTAAAGGCCCTAGTGAGTCTTTGACCAAGAAAGACTTTCCAAACATTGACTTCCTCAAGGATCTTGGGGACTGTAGATGGGTGCGATTTATCCGAGCTATCGATCTTTCTTTCAGTTTGTGACAAGTGTATAGCTGCCCAATCTTAACCTTGCACTCAATGCAGGACGATGTACCACTGCGCCATATGACCCGAAGTTGGCTTAAATTTAAAGGTTTTCCGTTCCTGAATGGCAATGTAAAGGTTGGTGTCGGAAATAATGCAGCAGCTCAGGTAGCGAACTTCAAAAGCTATGTTCGCGCTCTTTCATCTCTTGTATCTAATACCCGTCACCAATCTTAGTCGCATACGGTATTCAAGAAACAAAAGCGCGATCTACAAGTTGATCAAAGTCGGTTTAACCATCCCTGTACCAGTACTAGATTGCGGCCGATGAATTGGTAGCAAAAAAATGAACACAATGCGCTCACGACGCTTCCAACCCCTGTCATCTTGAGACACTAAACGTTAAACTCTTTCAGTTCCCTTGCGATGTAAGAGATGTTGCAGAGAAGCTAAATTTAAGAGAGAGCTGGCCGATCCGAAACACTAGGAGTATTCATTTCCTAGAGGGTCTTCAACGCGTCCGTAAGTAGACTCAAGTAGCATAATAAACAACACACTCACTCACTCGGCCCGTCCATGCAGCCTGTCTACAATCTGGGCCCAAGAGAAAGATATGTTTAATTCTGCTTCTCAAAGTGAGAACGGATAAAGTTAAGATAACATGCGGGGGTGGATATGAGTACTTTGCGGCCTTGACTTTGGCTGATATTCTTAGTTTCGAGAGGGGTGAGTGGATCGGCCTTCTATTACTGTGATATGAGCGAATGCCCCACTGCACCAGTATGTATTTTCAAGATCATATCGATACCTATTGGAGTTCGCCACATTATTTGAGGTTATCAGTATTCCTTGCGATCTTAAACAACTTCCCCGCATACTGCTTCTCATTTGCTTTTCGCTGTTGAGCGATCCTATCCTAATCTTGTTTGTGCGGGGTAGGAAGATTGTTGACCAGAGATAAATGCAAGATAAGGTCGCATCTGGGCTGGATGGTGCAGTGGTACACCACTCAGGCTGTTCTCCCAAGTAGATACTAGTTAGTTTGAACACCTATCCCATCCGAGACAGGAGAAATCTGATTCAAATCCAGAAGAGCCCATACACCACTCTCTCTCGCGGTGGTATTGTACTAGTGATATGATGAAATCACACTCGGATTGCCACAAGGTTTTCACGCTTTTCCCTGTGGTGGGTATGCACGGAAGAGGTTATACGCCGTAAGGGTTAACCCCGAGTGGTATCTGCAAATGAAATTTGAGTGTCAGTGTTATAAACGTTAAATTGAGTCATCCTACTTAAAGTACATATCTTCTGATAAAACCTGCATGGGTATCAAGGCGCCAAATCAGGACAATTGAATAATTTATTTATTTATGAGGTCGCATGTACGTGACAGCCAATTGAACGGTCCTGTTGATGCGGGGCTACTACATTATTTTCCCCGCTCAGTAGTCGTGTGGTGAACCGAGCTAAATACTCTTATATTTAATGATTATTGTTGGAATATCCACTTACATAATATCTCGTTTTACGTGTTACTTTTAAAGTTAGTAAAATCAATGAATTTCTTTTATGTTAATTGTCCTGTCGAGTCTATGGGTTTATGAAGACGTGTTGCTTCTTTCTATCTGCAGGCCGAGGGAATCAATGCCAGGAGTAGTGTACACCCTCCCATCCCTCTTTCACGACTTCTTTCCAGCGATAATACCCCTACAAGTCTTCGTTTGAGTAGACAGTTAGAGGAGCTATTATCCCGTAATTATCTATCCTCTCCAGCTAACGAATCAATGGCCATTTGCGCGTGTATGATAGCTGGGAAAAATCTCAAAGACCATTGAGTGCGGGGCTCTCCTAGTACCGACATTAGTGTTGGGAATCTAGACTTAGTATGGATGAAGGTTTAGATTTCTAGGTATAATCATCAAGATCAATTTTTTTGATTCATTTTATTGTCCTGTCTGAGTCTATGACAATGTAGGACATGCAGGTCTTCTCTACCTACAGGCCAATGATACCTATGATAGTAGTATATCCCCTCCTATGCCTCCCATATAGCTCCTCTCAAACAGTACCGCCCCTCACAAGTCCTCATTCAATCATGCACTTAGAGGAGCCCCCAGCCCTTCATTATCTCCCCTCTCCAGCCAACGAAACGATGGCCATTTGCGGGTGTATGGCAGCCGGGAAAAATCGCATAAAACCACTGGGTGCGGAGCTCTCCTAATGCCGACATTAAGACTATATCCGAAGACATACTGCCCCTTCTGACGCGTTCGAAGAGGCCGGCCAGCTGGGCGCTGTAGACTTGTGGGTACCTCGGAGAATTTACCCTCTGCCTTTCTAGCCTCCTTCCAACTCCTTCCCGAAGGTCGTGCTGAAATTTCAGAAAAGTCTTGACAGAGCGTGATTGCTGTATAGCAGCTTAGCCCAACTTCTTTTGTGCCGTCCAGGGCGCTGGGGAGTGCCGTTGACTCATCGACAAGAGAAGCCCTCCTGGCTAATTAGCCGAAATCTCGGTCTTGGCGCCCACAAAAAATCCAAAGTTGAAGGATCCCCGAAAATATCGGTCTCAGCATGCTCTTCAGATACCCATTCCTCCTCTCGCTCCACATCTCAGGCGCCTGTTCTTCCTCAAGTTGTTTGTCCCATTAGATCAACAGTCCCCCATAAGCCATGACCCAGGCTTTGTATTTTTCGACTTAATTTCCTCCTTGCGGGTATTAATAGCGTCGTAATTATGTAGTGAGAGATGGCTGGAAATTAATGGGGCAAGCTCCTCTATGCAATTGGAGTAACTTCTTTATTGGTCATCGAGGCGAGATGATGCGTGGTTAGAGAGAGGTTGAGGACTCGGATGAGTATGGTAAGAGAGGCATTGTCGAGAAGTCGTCAAATGGAGATGTGCTTGAGGTTGTTTTCGACTTCGATTGGGATGCGATTCTTCTTGGCTATCCCAGATTTGCAAAGCATACTGAGCGATTACACCGGCACCACTGGAAGGTGAAGAATTCGTCTCTGCCGGCATCAAGATCAATTGAATTGATTCGCTTGGATATGATTAAGCTCAGTTAGGCTAAATGAGGCTCAGTGGCATCTGGAATGCAGTGGCTAGGAAATGCTACCTTAAGGTAATTGAGTAGCTAGTTGCTAGATCACTAAGGCCTCGGGGATCTATATTCAAGGATAGACTTATGTCTGTGTGTATTTATTGTACTACTTGAGTTGTAGACTATCTAGCATATTGGGCTCCTCTCTGACCTAGGCCACACCTTTCACAGTGCTCCTATCTTCTTTTGTTACTTGAAAGATCATAGATAAATTGCTCATGATGAATAGCTATTCGTCTCAGTATTTACCCGTGGCATTCGGCCACCTTTTCCACGGAAACTTCTACCTAAAAAAAAATAGAAATAGTTGCAATGGAAACTGCGTGCGCGGGAAAAAGTCTCA